ACAATGGTGAGAGAGCCGTGCCCTGTCAAGGAAAAACAATATTTACACATTGAATAATATTGGAAAGTGACATAAATATATATGCATATTTTGAGTATAATAACGCATACAACTTTTGGAATTTTATGTATATTAGCTTTGGTTTGCAAGTGTAAGAATATGCTGCGCAAGAAAGCTTTAAAGGGTAGGTTCATGAACTGTGTTGTGTTTATGCTCGTTTGAATTGAGCAGCCACGCTTCACAGCTTGCTCGAGTAGGCAGAGAGCCCGACAAAAACACCTCAAGCCATGCCGTCACTCGAACATAACGAAGCAAAAAGTAAGCACGGATAAATACGAATGTTTATTGTTGCTTTAATGATAAAACAGTCTGGATCTGCATAAATGGCTTTTCAAATATTGGCTTAGCATGTTCTCCTATGAGTGCGGGCAATGTCCGGTGTGTTTAACGTTTGTACCTACTGACGACAGTCTTACTCCATGGCGCTCTAAAGCGCAGCGGGTCATATCAATGCATTGATCAGGGCCCTGAAAATGCCCAGTATTTCATTACCAATTGTCAGTCTTAAATGGACACATTAACCATCTTGGTAGGCTTCGAGGCCCGTGAAAAACCTCTGCCGTACTTTGGGTCTGGCATCCGGTTGCATTGCAACTCCATATTCAACTGACAAAGTGTCAGTTATTACCGTATTTGGGTTTTAACCATAACTACCACGATACTCCCTGAGGGCTCAGTCCGCATGAGCAGGTTGGAGCGAACTCGAAGGGCCCAGTCTGCGTAGCCGAAGCTACTACCAGATGAGCTTCTATACAGCTCTGGGTCATACACACATCACTCATACAAAAACTAAGCCAAATTCCCAGCTAAACGCCTTCGCCGCTTAAACAACTCACGCGCAAACGATTCTAACTGTTCGGTATTCCGACTAGTGGAGATCACACCACTAAGCTCTAATCGCCCATCAGTCCAGCTAATCCCCATATCACGTTGAGCGCGGGCAGAGACAAGAAAGCAAATCGTGATAAGAGTTGTAGTTTCAGTAAACTGTCAAATTTACTTGGAAGAAGGCAAGGGAGAAACACCTCGGCAGTTTCTGCACGCTCTCCGGTTTTAGGTTCACAGATATCGTTCAACCGATGCCAAGTCGGATATAGACGACTCAACATAGTTTTGATGGACTTAAAGCGCTTCGTCAGCCGATACACAAAGATCAAAAAATTACGGGTGCCTCAACTGTCTATGTCGGACCTCCCTGATCTCTTTCTCCATTTTTCAAATGAAGGATTTTCAATTCGCTCGATTTATGCATTTTTCTTCACTTCAGTAAATATTTTGTGATACAAATTGAGTAACCCAGCTCAATCAACGTGCTGGTATGAAACCCGCCCACAATCATGTAATTCTAACGATTGCTCGATTCCCCTTCGGGAGCCGTGCACAAATCAAACATTTCCCTTTGCACTTTGCATTTATGCTTTTGTTGTGAACTCCTCTTAAAGCGCTTTGTTTGTTTGCTTGTGCATGTGTGCGTGCATGCATACACCGCACAAAACCACTTACGGGCCGCCAAATTACAAGAACGCCTAAAGTGGGCGGCCCTGTTTACATTACACATTACGTATTCTTTATTTCTTTGCGGCTTTCACTGCGTACTATTTGCTGGCCCCAAAGAAGATTTATATTTATTTTATGCCGCTTCACTCTTTGGTGTTGTAGAAATTCATGCTTTCGGAATTGTGTGCTGTAAAAGAGGTTTGCTGGCCGGCGGCGCGGTGTATACGCCGCAGTATGCTAGCCTATGAATGCAAGGATTTTGCTTGATTTGTTGTGGGAGAGAAAAGCAGAGTAACAAAAAGAGCTAGACAAGTTTTTTTTTTTAGGAAATTCTTTCATTCATATATTGTGACTTGTAGATCTAGCAAGGTGGTCGTAGGGATGGGTGTGAAAAAGCTTACAAATATATATGTATTTCTTAGCTTCAAAAATCAGTACACTCACTTCCAATTTGACCATTGATGGTCACACTCTCAACGGTGCTGCTTGCGCCGCAAACTGTTGCGCTTGTTGTAGTGCTGCTTATTTCCTCACTTGTGTATAAGCCTCCCGCTCCTAAACCGCCGCTTATTAATCCGGCTGAACTGCTGCCAGTGGGACTGTCTGCCTTTGCGCGTCTTTCACCTGTCACACTGCCACTTGTTGAGCCAATCGACGGTGTATTGCCGACGGTGGGTAGATCGTCTCGTTCACGCTTGGTCAAACTCTCCGGTGTGCTGGCCACTGCCAAAGAGACAAAGAAAATTATGCAATTAATTACTTTGAAAAATTATTTATAATATTACATAATCGCAATAAACTCATCAGTTCTGAGTTTTTGCACTTAAATATTGTTGTGCACCTAAAAGTGGAGGTTCAAATTAAATTTTAGATTTTTAGGGAATTTTATCAGTAGTAGTAGGCTAGTAGACTTGAACTTGGTCAAAAATAAAATCCTTAAATTTCGCTTAAAATTTCTCTAATTTATTCTCTCCTGGGATTTGCTTGATATCATTGCCAAGGTTTACAGGCCATGCGCGGTTAGAACCCACAATTGAGCTCCTCAAATTACTCAAACGTATAAGATTAAAATCACGTAAGACCCAAATTTGTTTGGGCGCTAATTTCACATAACTGTGATTTAGCAAGAAAGGAGTACGTTTTGAAGAATTGATTATTAACTACATGACCCTCATCACAAAAGTAATTAGAAACTATGAAATCAGTAATCAGTGGGATCCTCTTAGATAAGTAAGTAAGTGATTTCACAGCGTGACGTAACGTAACTTAACGTAAAAAAACGATTCTACTTTGTAGCAACATGTTGCAAGACTATAAAAATTTCCACGAAAATTAAATAAATATTTATATAATTTATACCCGTGCATATTATATATAAATATAAATAAATATTTAAACATTTTACACCCACAAATACATACTTATGTACATAGCAGGAGCGGATATTTAATTTTGGTTTGCGAGCATCGGCTACTTAAGACTCTTCAAGTGCTGATTAGTTGCCAAAGATTACTAGCTATTCGAAAAGTTAGTTCTTCGGGTATAAATAAAGGGTGACTCAGATACAAATATAGAAAATGATGTCAAAAATTGCGAAATCGAAGCAGTCAGCTTTTGTTTTCGTTAAATAAAGGAACACTCACAAACGTTTTTACTACTTTAATCCTCGGTTACTAACTCGGATAGTATATCCTCGCAGCCTTTCTTCCTTTATTTCACGATTAGTAAATTCGAAACCATTTTCAATATAAAATAACTTTGTTTTGACCATTCCAAGCGTTATACGCACCCATTAAGTTATCAGCGGCGGAACTGATAAAACGGTAGCCCGTCAGCAGGCAAACCATTCTTGTCAACATTTAATATCTTTGACGGGTATTTCAGTTTATTCCAGCAAATTCGCGAATTTACACGTATTTTTCGAACGAAAGAATTCTAAATTTTCTAATTTTTAACAAAGCTGTGCAAAATGAAGATTTCAATGAAGTTTTCTATAAGCCTGCTGCTGTTGCTGTGTTGTAGCCTTTACCAGGCATACGCCAGCATCGGCGCCGAAGCGGCAGCTATCAACGCTATCGATGTGGATTGCATTTGTGGCCGCGACTATTCGCCAGTCTGCGCCTCCGATTCGTTAACCTACAGCAACCGTTGTTTGTATGAATGTGCACGCAAGAAATTGCAGGCCAAGGGACGCAGTTTGGAGCTGGTGCGTTCGGGTGCTTGCGCTGGCGAGTCATTGGGTAGAAAGCATGCGGCGGTTGCGGAGCCACTTGTGGCGGCCGTTGCTGAGGAGGATACAGACTTGGACTCATGCGTCTGCGATCGCAGCTTGAAGCCGGTTTGCGGCTCAGACAGTCGCACCTACAACAACGCATGTCTCTTCGAATGCAAGCGCTCAATACTGGCTCGATCGGGTAAAGTATTGTCCATCCTGCGCCAGGGAGCTTGCAATTGACTTGGATTTCATTGCTGCATGCGGAAAATATTAAAAAAAAAGTTTACTAAATAAAAATCTATAAAGAAAGCAGATTTTGATGTTGGAGTTTTTTGGGGATTTTTTCTTATAGCACATTTATCATAAAAACAATTAAGGAGGGAGGACATAGAGCGATGGTTAAACTTTTTGTTGAGCGAATAATAATATAGCCAGCAAGCTTATAAAAAAATATTTCATTGGTAAATACTAAAAACCTTCTAGTTTGATAATAATGAAAGTTTGAAGCTTTTGCTTAGGATTGGCTGACTTATTATATTAGTAAGACGACGTGGTCGGAAAATCAAATTTTCTAATATGATAAATCATTCTAATTTATTTTTGATATCGCCATGGTTTTTCCTTTGAGTAGTAAATTATTAAGTGCCTTATCAAAACAAAAAATAGTATTGGGAATAGAGAGCGGAGATCAGAAGAGCGCATTTTGCACAGAAATTACTCTCTCTTTGTGGATGTAGCATACTTATAGACTCATTTTCAGAATTATCTATATTATAAAAGGTAATTACTAAGTTTATTACTGGAGCTTGATTTTCTAAACTTTCTAACGAAAAAAATCAGTCATGAAAACGAATTTTACAGGCCTACGCATTGAATGGTGCATGATGGTGCTCTTCTGATATGTAAATAAATATTCGCCAAGCAACCATATATAGTATTATATTATCGGTCAATGATCGTTTTGTAATTAATTTTCTTGATAACCTGTGTAAGTTATTGCCTAACCCACTGGCCTGACTAATGCATGCGTACATTATGTGTGTATGATTTCTGAGGCAACTTTGTTATTATTGGCATTTTCATCAATTTATTTAGTTGGTATATCAAAGTTTTATCGCTGCGATGGCTGATATGTTCAATGATAGCACCTTTAATCGGAAACTGATAATTTTAGCTTAATATACACATATCCGCCCAACAATGGGTGATTTTCAGAAAAACACAGACCTTACTTTATCACATTTATTTTATTATTCACTTCAGCTTAGCATATACAATAAAGTTCACGTTATAAATGTCACTCCTCGCATGGTCCGGAACGCAGCAATTCCAGACTACGCCCTTTACGCTCCTCGTCCCGACGCTTGCAGTCGTACATGCAACGATTCGGATAGGTTACCAGATTAGCGGCGCAGACTGGCTTAAAGTTGCGTGGACATATGCAGACGGGTCCCTCCTCGTTATCAGCGTCGACTGCTGCAGCTTCGCTCAGTGCGGCAAATAGTACGATGCACAGCAGGAAGGACGCAATGTAGCACATAAATTTCATTGTTTTAATATTTTATTCGAATTATACGTAGTTAGTGGCTTGGTTAAAACTAGCGGTTACTTCCGTCGGTTACTACACGCAAGTGCTTTCGGCAGACAACTGAATTGCGTGGCTTATGTGGAAAAGAGTTTTATAGATAAAAGGTAAAACAGCTGTGCTGTGTGCTCTAATCAGTTGAATAAATAAGGTTTGGCGGTCGAGTGTTGGCCACCGAAACGATTTGGTGATTTGATATGTGGTTAACTTAGCTAAGCCGAAAGCCTGATCACTAGAAACCAATTGTAGTTATCGTAATTAGTTGATTTTGCGCTTGAATGTGATATTTACCGTGATACATACTCACCATTTATACAATACTATATACATATATGTATGTATGCACGTTTATAAAAATATATTGCTTTTCACCAACAAACTATTAAAAATTATAGTTAAAGTAGTTAGTTACAACTTGTGCAAATACAAAAGCAAATCAAATGTTTATATCTGAATTATATTAATAAACAACTGAACAAATTTATTATGTACCCTAAATACACGCGAAATTCAAGGCAATTTCCGGAAATTAGTCAATCTCCAAATTATCGGCGAGAAAAGTTATTTTTAACTATTTTATTGGTTAAGGAATAAATATGTTCACAGAAAAAATGTGGGGTTTTTAATTTTTTTTATAAATGTTTATTAAGTTTTATTTTTTTCAAATTGTTGTTTTTAATTTTTTTTCCTAATAAAAAAACGGGAAGAAACGTTAACTTCGGTTGCACCGAAGCTATAAGAGCATTTGCAGCTACATTGCTTATAGAGATATTAGTAATAGTAGCATAGTTAAGTCTGAAAACCTAGGTTTCAGCCACGTTGTTCAATAAACAATCTTCAGGTTGATTGAGGGCTACTTAAGGGGTTACATGGGTTTCCTCAGGTAAAACGCAGCCGTTTTCAGCAATTTTTCCCATACAAAAAATTAAGTATTTTATTAGAAGTTTTTATTCTTGCAAACATACACTATTAACAAAGAAATGTTAAAAGTTTTGAAATATATATATATATATATATATACATATATATATATGTATATAAAGTCGGCCATTGCGACGGTCACCCACCGGAAAAAAGTTGCGACCCGTCAAAAAAAGTTCCATTAAGAATTGTAACTCAAAGACCTGTGTAAAATTTCATGACGATCGGTTGAGTAGTTCTCGAGAAATCTTGGCAAACGACTTCAAAACCACAGTTTTGAGAAGAACGTGTTCTAACTAGCCTCGAGCGCACAAGTTCTTAAGTGTTGTAGATTTAAATAAGACAATAAAAAATTCGATTGCGTAAGCCCATTAAATCCTTAAATAAAAAAATGTATTTTATGAAATTCATGTACTTAGAATTTGACCGATCTGTTTGTATGGAAGCAAGGGCACTTTCTTTTGGAGGAAAGGACGTGTGTGAGTTTTCAAATCGATATCTCAAAAAATGGGAGAATAGCTCGGCTATACGCAGACGGTCGGAAGAACATGCAGACGGAGGGACATTCCATTCGAAAAATATCTTTAATTCAAAAATGTGGAAAAAGTTGCGTGGTTAGCGGCGACTAGCTCATCTAGGTTGCAACATAATATGTGTTGTAACATACGCGCCATTGGGGCACGGCAGGGCAGTGAATGTCACGGAACAAAATGCAGTACGGCTCACTGGCGCAGTTGGCTCCCTAGGAAGCATTCGTGTACGGAATTGAATGTAAATCATATTAAAAGATCGTCGATATGAGGATTCTTCCAACAAAATAATATCAAAATGCCCCACTGACGAACAAGTTTTATGATCTCTAAAAACCTTCAGCTTGAAAATCCTGGCGCAAAACGGACTCTAGCACCATAGACGCGTAGGCATAGTTGTTCCGCATAATCCTTCATATTTTTCCGCATACGCGATTTTATCGTTTTTTTGGGGCTCTTTATAAATCAACCCGCTCTAATGTCTACTACCACTAATGTATATGATCTCCGACGCTTCCTTCGGAGTGTTACAAACTTCGTGTCACACTTAATATTCCTTGGTCAAGGCATAATTAACTCCACCGTACTGTTCATTACATATATTTTAGCCTTTGAAATCAACAAATTTTTCATATTTTCAATAATAACATCGATTGCACAGCATAATAAACTCTTAAAAATGCTTATCGCTTTGAACTTGACTTGCTGACCCAGAATACTCCACGATTTCGTACAATAATATATAAAATATATCGAATTAGTATAATATGTACATATGTATTGGTGTAAACCTATAGTTGTTTGTAATCGGGGGTTTCCTGTAATTCTAACAACCAAATATGCAAAGGGAGGTTTATACATTTATTTATTTAAGTGATTTAAGGCAAATTAGAAATTATAATCCAAATATGATCAGCAAGGCCCCTGATGTGCCAGGCTCAAACTGCCGCCAGTCCTTTGTTGGCACTCCAAATTACAACCGTTGGCGTATGTATGTTTGTCGCTGCCGCATACAGGGAGATAGATATGAGGACAGATGCAGAGGGCTGCTCCATTCGACCCTGTGAAGCTGAGCGCCAGCGTCAACACGAGTAACGCGAACAAGTTGAAAAATTTCATTTTAATCTCTAAATTTTGATTCTTTGATTAGAAAATGTACAATTTAGTGGATAACCAGCTGTGCTTTGATTAAAATAATGAAAGGGTTTTAGTCCGGCGCTGGTATTTGTAGACAGATGCTGCGTATTTGAAGAAGCAATTGGATGATCTGAAGCTCAACTTAAGTATACAAATAAAGCGTGATTATTTGCATGAGTTCGTGTATGACTTGCGAATTTCGAAGAAAAAATAGCAAGTTAATAAGAAACAATTAATAATAAGCGCTTAAAAGTACAGTCGACGCTCACAAATTAGAACCTTCAGTAATTAGAATTTTTCAGAATCAACTTAAAAATAAAGTGGTTCTAAAATGAAGGCTTTGGCTGTGACTATGTTTGAAATTCCCTTATGCATTTACTAACTTTTATTTTTGTTTAGAAAATAATTTAGGCGAATTAGAAACTCCCCGCTGCATATAATTATTTTTAGAGTTGAAGGTAACTTTTTATTTATTATCGTAGTAATTGTTGGCATTCAGTTCTTGCATTTGCATTAGAATGCGGGTGCGTCGTAATCAATTAATTATGCGCTGTTAGTCGTTAAAACGTCATTATAGCCTGAAAATAGTTTCGAAATTTTTGTATTGTATCAAGCAAAGAATATAGTTTTCACATCACTGACTGGTGTCTTATGTATTGGGCACAGTTAGTGTTTTATTAATAACTACAACATCATTACATATCCTTATTTATAATTCAAAGCCGCGTTCAAAAGAAAGTGTGCAGATTTTAGCACGGTCCGTCATGCGTTTTTCTCAATCCTCTGCTAGATCTCTGACTGCACTTTAAGTCACAGTCGTTGCTATAGGTTCGGCCATTGCTGCCGCAGACAGGCGCGTAGTTGTAAGGACACGCACAAGCCTGTGCGTTCGTTGTTGTGAAGCACATCGTCAACGCGAGGCAGAGCACCACCAAAATGTTTAATAACTGCATCGCGATCGCAAAACTCCAAAACTTTCGGCTACTTGTTTTAGTTCCTAAAATGACACGATTCGTTGTATGTTACAACAGCTTAGCGCTTTCCTTCGACTGTGAAAACATTTTTGTTTAGTGTGTGCCATTTATACAGTTTGCCAGTTGAGACGAACAAATTGATGATCTATTGGCAATGAACGAAAGCTCAAATGCAACTTTCAGCATTCTTATTGCAATTGCATGTTGGAATGGAGTACGAGGGCGGTTGCGTAGGTTTCGCTTGCCAGCAAGAAAAATATTTTGAAGAAATTAAATTATTGTATTCTTACGTAGTCCGTACTTATATCTGTTAGTGACTAAAAGTTTTGAAATGTGTTTTTGTGGTAGAAATTTGTTAACTCCTCAAAATTAACTAGGGTATTATCACATTCATACTTCATTATCACATTTTTCAAAACTTCATACATTGAATACCATATCGTCACTTATCATGCGTATCATCAAAAAATTCAAAATTGAGTTCTTCACTGCATACGATTCACTTTTCATTCTCATTCCTCAATTTAAAACGATATTTAACCGTTCTTAACCAAAACTGAAATTTTATTTCAATACGAGTGGTTACTATTGCATCGTTTTTTCTTCACCTGGCAACTTAATAAAAGTGATGTTATGTTATTTTGCATTTGAGGTGACGATATATCTATAAGAAATATTGCAGAAGTTTATTAAACTCATAACTTTATTTTTTGGAATAGTTCATGAAAGCTGACCATAATAAATTATTTCGGTTAAGTACTTATAAGACTGCCTTTGTAGAAAAACTAGTTGTTGCTAAGGTTTCTAGGAGTCTATTTACATGACACCTAAGGGACTGTGTACATGTGATTGTAATTTTAATTGAAAAGAGATACGTTGCTCTGCGATAATATTTCTATATTTCTTAATCTGGAAATAAAGGGTGTCCCCAAACTAACGCTAGATTGGCATAAAATAAAAAACATGGTTTTTATTCTCTCGTTTGTAATTTTTTTTATTGAATCATAAAGTATATAGGATAAGGTTATTTATGGAATAACACATCGGATAAATGGCTTTCCAAACACATACCCACTCGTTTTTCCAAATTTTCCAAATTTTCCATAGCTATTTGTCGGCGAGAAATTTATATTTTGCGTTAAAGGGTTACTTGGGTTTCCTTGGGAAAAAAACGCTCTTTTTCAATAATTTTTTTTACCATATAAAAACTGATTTATTAGATTTTTTAATTGTGCAAACATACACAAATAACTAAAAAATTCTGAAATTTTTGGAAAACTATTTTAAAATCGGCGATGCCGACGGCATTTCCGGTGACCGCTCCGAAAAACGATGCGCCCGCGTTCACAGGATCATATAAATGGGAAAATATACTTGTTTTCGCTAAAACGAAGGAAATTTCGCGACATTATCGTATCATATTTCGATCCATTAAGAATTGTATCTCCAAGACCTGTGCAAAATTTCAACATCGGTTGAGTAGTTCTCGAAAAATCTTGCCGATCGACTTCAAAAGCACAGTTTCGAGAAAACGCGTTTTAAGGCGACGCGCTTAGTTCAGCTAGCCTCGAGCGCACAGGTTCTCAAGGCTGT